AGGGAGCAGATTCAGGCTGACCTAGACAGGTTGGATCAATGGGCAGAGAGAAACAGGATGAAATTTAATAAAGATAAATGTAAGGTACTCCACCTGGGAAGGAGGAACCCCCAGCACACCTATAGGTTGGGGAGTGTCCTTCTCAGCAGCTTGGAGGCAGAGAGGGATATTGGAGTCATAATTGACTCCAAGATGAACATGAGCCGGCAGTGTAACGAGGCCGTCAACAAGGCCAATCGCACCTTGTCGTGCATTAGCAGGTGCATGACTAATAGAACAAAGGAGGCGATGCTCCCTCTCTATGCGGCACTGGTCAGGCCGCAGTTGGAGTACTGTGTCCAGTTTTGGGCGCCACACTTCAAGAGGGATGCGGGGAATCTCAAGAGGGTCCAGAGGAGGACCACTCGCATGATTAGTGGCCTTCGTGATAGACCTTATGGGGGGAGGTTGAGAGAGCTGAATCTCTTCAGCCTTCACAAGAGATGGCTGAGGGGAGATCTTGTGGCTGCCTATTAATTGATTAGGGGAGGTCAACAGGGAATAGGGGAAGCACTGTTTACTAAGGCGCCCCAGGGAGTGACTAGGAATAACGGGTGTGAACTAGTTGAGAGTGGATTTAGGTTCAATATTAGGAAGAAATTTTTCACAGTAAGGGTGGCCAGGATCTGGAATGGGCTTCCAAGAGAGGTAGTGCTATCACCTAGTTCGGAGGTCTTCAAGAGGAGGCTATCTAAGGAGGAGACTATCTAAGTCACCTGGCTGGGGTCATCTGACCTCGGTCCTCTTTCCTGCCATGGGCAGGGGGTTGAACACGATGATCCATTGTGGTCCCTTCCGACTCTACAATCTATGAATCTATTTATAACTTTGCTGCTGAGTACAGATGTGCGTTGTGTTACAGAGATGTTTGGGTACTACGGTATTTAAAAGAAGACATAAAATGGCCTATATTTATCCTAGAATCTCTTTGGAATGAGTAGTAAGTATATCACAATGATATTTAAAGGACTTTTTTACTGCTTAGAGGGCACGTTTTGACTGCCAAAAGCAGTGGAAAAATTACTTAACCTATTATGTGGCCTTAATTTCTCTATAGCAATTTCTACTTTATTCTTTGGAAAAGCCTTAAATAAAGTATTTGTAATTGTTATCACTACTGTGGGCAGTACAGCAAATGTGTCTGATTAGGAAATGTTAATGTTCTGGCAGTAATGTTGGGAGCATTACTTTGCCATTTCATACCTTAGTTTTCTGCTTGACAGCTCCAGATTTAACTTCCGTCTTACTAGGTGGATGCAAATCCCCATAACATGCAATATATTGTATAAGATTCATTAGTGCAGCACAAGAGTCTGAGCATGTTCGGATATGGATTATATCACTGGAACAGTGTAGCTCAAAGTGTGGTTTTGTCTAGGCAGCAATAACAGATAATAAGTACATAAGAGATTGCACAGGACCATCTAGCCCAGTATCCTGTATTTAAAATGACAGATGAGAGAAACGTGTCCAAGTATAACGAGCCTACCCAACTATATCCAACACCAATGAAAGGTCCCATATAATCACTATCTATAAACAGATTTAGATTAATTAGATTACATAATTTTCTGACCTGACCTGTTGAAATAAAAGATTTAGGAACTAAATCATACGTTACTCTGGAACCTGAAATGTGGTATGAGGATGAGAGAGAGATGTTTTTAAGAAACTTAAAAACGAAGGTTTCTCCTTCACCATAATTACAGCTTCTCAAACCTTTTTTACTATTAAAATGCGAGTTACAAGTGTTTATCATTTAGGATTTGCTCTTAAAAAAAAGAAGAAAAAAAAGACTTACTCTCTCCTGATCAGAACCAGGTTTTATTGCTGTTATGGTCAATTCCAGTAGTCCCATATCCATAACACGAACATAATCTGAAAGACAAAATGAGTAATTAAAAAATTGTTCATTATCAAGTATTACCTTAAATCCTATTTCTTTTTTTAATTCCACAGCCCACCAGCTATTAATCTACTAAATTATATAATGAGCAAAATTTTTCTGTTTTGTTTTGTCTTTTCAACACCTTTTATAGTTCTCTGCTACTTTGTAACAAAGAAGCTCTCTAGGTTCAGTCTGCAGCTACCTTAATTTGTTGTAGCTGAAGCAGAAGTAGCCTTAAGGCTCCTGACAGAAATCAACTAAATGGCACCATTAGATCAGATATCCAATCCCAACAATCGCACATCCTGCCATGGCACAGATGCATGGCAGGACAGGCTTTTTTAGGGATCAGGTACAAGATCCCAATTGTGAGATCCCTTTCAACTTGTCAGCACAAGCGAAAAGCTGTGCACAGTTTAGCCCTGCATGGGGCTGTCCAGTAGCACAGGGTTCTGCAAGTACCAGGCCCAGCTCCCCCCAGCGAGAACTTACAGAGCTGTGCCCTGGCATCCCCACACACAGGGCTCCCAGGCACATGACTTCAAACGTGCTGAATCAAGAGAGCTCAGTGAGAGACCCTAGTTTTCAGCCCCCTGTTCCCTATGCCCCCAGTTAGAGACACTGCTTTGTGCCTTTCCATATGTGAACAATCATCAGCATGAGTAGCCCTGAGTCTAGAACCAGGCCTGGGCTGCCCCATTCCAATGTCAACAATTAGCCAGCATGGAGAGAAGGCATGCTGCCATTTGTGTTGCAATTAACACACAAATCATGCCATAAATGTATTTTATGTCAGAGGCCTGAAATATCCTTTTAATCCTGCAGGACTGGGTCAGTTGAAGGTCAAAGCAGGAACAGCACAACCTGTTAAAGGTGGGGAATAGGAGGAAGAGTATCATCTTTGCTATACCACCTGAAGATTCCAATGTCATACAAAATCCTCTACTAACCCAACAGGTTACTTTTTTAGCTTCTTTATACTACCTTATAAATGCAAACTACCTGGATCAAGTGTTAAGTACTGAACCCCGTGTGCTTTGCAAATAAGAATGAGTTAAGACATTTCACCCAGGTGAAGAATGTAATTTTACAGAATGGAATGAAGCCAAGATCAGTCAAAGTGGCTGTCCAAAAATCTCACAGAACGTCTTAAGCAGTGAAAGACCTCCCAGCTACCAGGTCTTGATGACATGGTGGACAAGACTGTGCATGAAGTCATGAATGTATTAACCAAGATCTAAAGTGACATGGAAAGTCAAGCAATTTGTTTCATTTCAAATTCTTTAAAACACAAAATTCAAATGTGAGGGAGTCCAAATTAAGCTCTTTTGGAAGATGTGGACTTTGTTGTATCACAAAATAAATGTACTGACAATATTAAGTTGGGACTGCAAATTACTAATGAAAGAATGCCTGTAAAAACACGAGACTACTAGGATGATTTTCTTATATTTTACTTAATTTCCTGCAACAACAATTAGACTAGACCTAAGATTTTAAAAATAATTTTCATTTCTATTTCTTGAAAAAGATGGATGAAGAAGTCATAGCTGCGATTCAGAGCTGAATTACTTCCCATAAGTAATTTTTAAATATATAATTTATTCCAAGTTAGTTTATGAAGCATGTCAAGTCTACTTCAAGTTTACTAATTTCCTCTGGAGATGATTCAGAAGTCAAAACAGGTCAAAGATTATCATATCATTGTTATTCAGTCACATTCCTTACTTTCTATCTAATTATCTATTGTTTGATTCTCATCATAAGGGTTTGTGAGTCCTTCATAATTCTAGAAGTATTTATTCTCATAAACCCACTCCGACAGTAAATAATATTCTCATTTTACTGATGGGGAACTGGGGCACTAAGAATTTAAAGCCCAGCTCCACAAAGGGACTTAAGTGTGGAAATACAATTAGAGACCCCTAACTACTAGGGGTGTGCAAAGTGGGCAGTGTTTGATTTGGATTTGACCCAATTTGGGGGACAGTGATTCGATTTACTGATTCGGATCACTGTCCCGATTCAATTCGGCCGAATCTGAAGATTCGATTGATTCTCTGAATCGTAGTGATTCGGCCATAGACACAGCTTTATATGTTTTTTCTACATACCTCAAGGTACCAGGCGTGGCTCATGAACACTGAGATGGTGGGGCAGATGGAGCATCCCACAGGAGTGAGGGGCGAGTGGGGGTGTGGCCCCTGCGCACTTGGCAGCAGACCCAGAAGTGGACTGGAACTACTTACAGTCCACCACTAAGGGTGCAGGGAACCCCCCCACACCTTCTTGGCTTGGCACCTGGCTGCGGAGGGACCCTGGGTGACACCCCAGACCCAGGAGGCACCAGTTGCTGAGCCGGGGAGGGAAGGGTCCCCCATGCACTCCACAGTGGACCCAGAAGTACTTCTGATCCACTTCCAGGTCTGCTGCTGAGCACACGGGGGGCTCCCCACCCCACGCTCCCATGGGACATGCTTAAGGTTGAGCTTTGAGTCGGGCTTAGGGAACGGTGAGTTGGGCTTAGGGAGCAGCACGAGACACACAGGTGAAAACCCGTCGCACTGCTGCACCCCGAAGCCCCCCCAGCAGCCGCTGACCCCTGGCACAGCCAGAGGTAAGCGGGGCCCGTGGAAGGAGGGACTAGCTTAGATCAGCTGCAGGGAGGCAGCTGAGAGGAGCTGAGGAGGGTCTCGCCCCACCCTGGCTCCTACTTTGCCCAGCCCCACAGCAAACCACGTGACTGGAGCTGCATGAACAGGCCACACAAACAGGCGTGCTTGTCTGCACAGCACACAAGTTTAGCGTGGGAGTTTGTGCAGGAGGGCAAGTGGGAGGGCCCAAGGCCCTGCCAGCGAGCCCCTAGCGTAGGCAGTCCCATCAGTAGCTGGCCTACCAGCCGCATGATGCAGATGGGCATACGCCGCACCCAGAGGGTCCCCTTGGAGTCTGCAGCCTCCTCCTCTGGCACTTCTGAGGCTTCCACCCAGACAGAACCCAGGGTTCTGGGCTCCACGCAGATGGAGCCCCTGGCTCTCGGCTGTGGGGGCTGCCTGGCATGTTTCCAGGGTCCTGGGACGGGGAGCATGGCCACTTCCCCTTGTGGGGTTTGCTCCACTTTGGAGTCTCTGGGGCACCAGACAGGGGAGCTCCAGGCCACAGTGCAAAGACTGTGCGCCATCAGGGATGGCAAGCAAGAGATGGACTCCTACTGCTAGGCCCTTCACCCCAAAGGCGGAGGGTAGACCAAGGTCACCTTCCAGGACAAGGGAAGACTCGAGGATCTCCCATACTGTCCAGCCAGGGGGTTGGACCAAGGTGGTCAAGGGCCCCAAAGCCTACCGCACCAAGGTCCCCTCCCCTTGGGGCTTTGCAACAGATACAAACCTCTTGCAGCCCCAGTAGAGCCTGAAGAGATGCCAGCTCCTGCAGGCAAGGGAGGATCACCCATTCCTACTCTCCCTAAAATGAAATGCAGAGTGGTGGTTGTGGGAGACTCCCTCCTGAGGGGGACAAAGGGGGCATTCTGCCACCCCGACCCCCTAGCCTGGGAGGTCTGCTACTTCCCGGAGGCCCACATCCGGAACATAGCAGAGAGGATCCCAAAGATTATCCGGCCCTCTAACCACTACCCTACGCTCTTTATCTATGTGGGCATGAATGGCACAGCTTGGAGCAATCCGAGCTGGGTCATGAGAGACTACAGGGCTCTGGGGGCAGGGCTTAGGGGTGCAGGTTGTTTTTTCCTCACTCCTCCTGGTTGTGGGTCACAGGCTGAGGAGGGAGAGATGGGTTGAGGTAGTCAACAAGAGACTGCGGCACTGGTGTCATCATGAAGGCTTCAGCTTCCATGATCACAGCCCGCTCTTTGGTGAGGGAGGAAGCGGGCTGCTGGGAAGAGATGGCCTCCACCTCTCTGTTGGGGAGGAGGCTCTTCTCAGCCAGACTGAGTGACCTGCTCAATTGGGCTTTAAACTGAGCCCGCTGGGGGGTGGGAGGAGTACCGCCACTGCAAACCCACTGAGCAGCTTTTGGAAACCCAGCAGGCTAAGGTACTCAAGGGAACCCACCCCTACCCCAGCCCCAGAGTGATCTGTAGGGAAGGCAAGGGCCCCCAATGGGACACTTACATGCCTGTACACCAATGCCAGGAGCCTGGGAAACAAACAGGAGGAACTGGTCCTTCTGCTAAACAAAAAGGATTATGATCTCATAGGGAGACCTGGTGGGACTACACCTATGACTGAGCCACAGGTATAGACGGCTATACCTGACACAGGAGAGATTACGTGGAAAAAAGGAGTGGTTGCTCCTCAAGGGAGCAATCCCTTGGAAGCTCAAGCAATGTCTATCCCGTCTCACAGGAAAGGCAGCAAAAGGGCACAGCAGCCCCCTGGCTCTACAGGGAACTAGTGGATCTCCTGCATCTAAAAAGAAAGACCTATAAAGGATGGAAGGCTGGATCCACCCCAAAGGAGGAGTACTTTTCACTGATCCGTACCTGTAGGGAGTGAGCCATTAAAGCCAAGGCTGCAACTGAACTCCAACTCGCTACAGATATCAAGGACAATAAAAAGTCCTTTTTTTAGATATGTGAGGCGTCGGAGGAAAAGCAAGGATAACACTGGACCCCTGCTAAACCAGATGGGACATCTGACAATTGACAGCCAGGAAAAAGCCAACCTGCTTAACGGCTATTTTGCGTTGGTTTTTCACCAGCCCCAAGGAATGGCCCTGCTCAATATGGTATGGGATGGCCAGAGCGAGGGAGAACTGTTACCCTTCATCAATGTTGACCATGTGAAGGAACACCTTGAGAGGCTGGACACCTTCAAGTCAGCTGGCCCAGACAGCTTACATCCCAGGGTACTTAAGGAGCCGGCAAGCGTCATAGCTCTGCCACTGGCATAGATCTACGAGAACTCATGGCACTCAAACAAAGTGCCCAAATAGTGGAAGAAGGCTAATGTGGTGCCAATCTTCAAGAAAGGGAGGAAAGTAGATCCGGGGAACTACAGGCCCATCAGCCTGACCTCTATTACAGGGAAATTCTTGGAAAAAATAAATCGAAAAGACCATTCTTGACAAACTGGTTGAAGGCAACTTCCTGAGGGACAGCCAGCATGGGTTTGTTGCAGCTAGGTCTTGCCTGACCAAACTCATCTCCTTCTACAAACAGGTGACATTGACATAGCACTTGAACAAGGGAGAAGTGATTGATGTCATATATCTTGACTTTAAAAAAAGCTTTTGATCTGGTATCCCACAATTGTCTTATAGAAAAACTGGCCAACGGCTGCCTCAGCTACATCAATTGGCTTCAAAGTCGGACCCAGAGAGTGGTAGTTGATGGAAGTCAATCATTGTGGTGCGCTGTGACCAGTGGGGTCCCGCAAGGTTCCATCCTTGGGCCTATTCTTTTCAACATCTTCATTAATGATGTGGACATTGGTTTCAGAAGCAGACTGGCCAAGTTCACTGAGGACACCAAACTTTGGGGTAAAGCGTCCACACCCAAGGACAGGATGGTGATCCAGGCCGACCTTTACAGGCTTGGAAAATGGGCGGATGAAAACCTGATGGCCTTCAATGCTGAAAAATGCAAGGTACTCCACCTTGGGAAGAAAAACCTGCAGCATGCTTATAGCTTCAGCAGTGCTACACTTGCTAGCACCACGGCCGAAAGGGACTTTGGGGTCATGACAGACCACAAGATGAACATGAGCCTTCAATGTGATGTTGTAGCCGGCAAAGGGAGCAAAACTCTAGCTTGCATCCATACATGCTTCACTAGCAAATCCCAGGATGTCATCCTTCCGCTGTACTCAGCCTTGGTGAGGCCACAGCTAGAGTACTGCATCCAGTTCTGGGCTCCACAATTCAAAAGGATGTGGAGAAGCTTGAGAGAGTCCAGAAGAGAGCCACACACATGATCAGAGAGCAGGAAAACAGGTCTTATGATTAGAGGCTGAGAGTTATGAGACTCTTCAGTCTCGAAAAGTACAGGCTCAGGGGTGACCTGGTGGCTGCCTATAAATATATAAGGGATGTACATCAGGATCTGGGGGAACGCCTGTTCACCAGAGGGCCCCATGGAATGACAAGGTCAAACGGTCACAAACTTCTCCAAAACTGTTTCAGGCTGGACATAAGGAAGAACTTTTTTACTGTTTGAGCCCCCAAGGCCTGGAACAAACTGCCGCCAAAGGTGGTGCAAGCACCTACTCTGGACTTCTTTAAGAGGCAATTGGACATTTAGCTTGCTGGGATCCTGTGACCCCAGCTGAATTCCTGCCCCGGGGTAGGGGGCTGGACTCAACGATCTTCCAAGGTCCCTTCCAGCCCTAACGTCTATGAATCTATGGCTGAATGGTTGAACCTCTCCGAATCAAATTGGAGGCTTCCAATTCGATTTGGAGAGATTAATGGGTCTCTTGATTTGAGTCAGATTTGGAGATTAGGCCGTCGAATTGGGTCGAATCTCCTCCGAATCGAATCAGTGACCAAAGCTTTACGCAGCCCTACTAGCTACCAGGATATAGGCAAGGCTGGAGTGAAAGCGCCTTCAACTCTTGCTGTTGAAGTACTGCTACTGTGTACAAAAGAATGTAATATTCATAGGACTAAAGCAGAAGCAAGGAAAAGGGAGCATGACATTGCAGTAGCCCAGTGATGACAGTATTCTCTGGGTAGGGGAAGTCCTGGATTCCAGTCCCTGCTTTCAATGCTGCTTGTCCATTTTATGCAGTGCCACTCTAATGCAGACATAAGCAGTCCCTAGAACAGGGATGATTATCAATCTCAGACTAGTCTCATGGTCGGGACATTCTCCTGGGAGATGAGAGTTTGAACTGCCTGAGTTTTGGAAAGGTTTCTAAATCAGGTCTCCCACTTCCTTACCACTGGGCTAGCAGAATCTCCATATGAAATTCACCAGAAAAGTGACTATTTGTTTTTATATGACCTTAATTTTGTAAAGGTTTTTGATGTCCCAATCCACAATTTTCATAAAGGCAGGTAAATATTAAATATTGATAAACCTGAAATAGAACCATAGAGAACAGGACTTTTATAGCCCTGTTCAATAATATTCACCTGCACACAGCTCAAAACTGCACTGGTCTTTTCTTCCTGTATACTACACTACATAACTCAGCCATTATTCAGTGTTATACTACACCACATCTCTTTTCCAGTAGCCTACAGGAATCTTTAAAAAATTATACATTTGTTTAATTTAAGACACTATAATAAATTTTGTACATAGCAACTGTTATACATCTGAAAGTCTTACCTCTATGCATATTCACTGCAACTGTGTTACACTTGTCTGACAAATGTAAAGCAGCCTCATCTAGGATTATTCTAGAGAAAGAAAAAGAGAGAAATTAAAGTTTTGAGTAACAACTGCATCTCACATATACACAACATAAATTATCTTAAACAAAATCAAAATATATTTAAAACACAAACATTTACATATTTCATTGTAACACTTATTAAACATTCAAGATTTATAAGAAAAAAAGTATTTAAAGAATTCAATAAGGCCATTTACAAGGCTACCACAATAGAAATAGGCCAAATCAAAATGTTTTTTTCTTGAATTTAAAAACCAAGTGAAACATTTCTTAACTAAAAATAGAATAACCACGACATCCATTTAAGAGGAGCAATAAAAATTAAGTATTTTCTTATTTAGTGTAGTATCTGATGTAACCACCTCTTGTTTTAGAGATCTGATGATACAATCTCTTAATGGCGCACATACTGAAAAAAATCAGCTGTTTGTATCTCTCAAGCATACTAAAGGTGCCATAACAAAAGTGACTAACAGAGGGATGAGTCATTCAAAACGGGTCCTGGGGAGTAAATCCAGGCAAATTACAATCCAAAGACCAGAACAGATCTAATTTTTTACCCCAGGAGAACACTTTCCAGCTAAAAGATAAAGATACAAGCGATAATATTCAAGTGAGCATCTAAATGTATACCTGAGAGTAGAAGAGGACTTATCTAATGCAATGCTGCTGGAAATGCTGAAAGTTTCAACAGTAAGCAGAGATCTGATTGGCAGAAAGATAGGTCTACAAACAAAAGGGAGAAATAAAATGTTATCATTTTCTTGCACTTTTGAAGTGCAAGTCTTAAAATTCTTGCTCAACCACAGTACCTCAAGTTCTAAACTAGTGCCTGTCCTCTCATTAATAGCCCTTTAAAATATTCGAACTGCAAGCAATTACTGCAAGTTTTCAATTTTCTTTAACCTAACTTTCAAAAATACCTAGCAATATGTAAACTGAAACATTCCTAAAAGGCATCCCGCTAAACAATAGCAGTAGCATAAGGTGACGCATACTTTCATTTAATGTACCTGTAATCAAGAGCGCAACTCCACAGGTGAATATGAAAAGTTGTAATGGAAGCTGGAGGATTGTATCCCAAAACAGGCTCATCAGAAATGTTCAAAAAACATAAAATCTAAAAATTACAAAAATATTATTATAATCCTTCAAACTATACTAGTTTAATAAATAATCCTGCATTTTAAAGAAAGAAAATCCTTAAGTTAGAAGATGCAAAATGAAAACAGTTATATAGGAGAAGAACAGGGGAGAATGCCCAAGCAACAACAATTTTTATTTTTAAATTGAAAATTATTTCTATATTGGATTCAGTGAATGGTATGAAACTGGTGAACATAATACATCTTTAGGTTAATGACCTCTCCCATCCAAAGTCACAGTGTAGTTTGAACTCAGTAATTTGAACCTCTGAAAGTTGGATCAGTTGGACTTTATGATGATCACTGAAAAAGGAATTGTAACAAATGAGATGGGAAATGAAGGCATAAATAAGGAGGTGAAAGTGTAGCGACATTACTGAGTTCAAACTACACTCTTTTTGGACATTCAAGACTTATTAAAAAAAAGTGGAAACAGGGAGAGATCACCAAAGAGGAGTATACCTCCTCTGCTCGTGCTTGTAGGGAGGCAGTTAGACGGGCCAAAGCTACCATGGAGCTGAGGATGACATCCCAAGTAAAGGATAACAAGAAATTGTTTTTTAGATACATAGGGAGTAAAAGGAAGGCCCAGGGAGGAACAGGACCCCTACTAAATGGGCAGAAGCAATTGGTGACGGACAGGGGGGACAAGGCTGAACTCCTCAACGAGTTCTTTGCCTCAGTGTTCCTAACAGAGGGGCAGGACAAGGCTCTCACTGGGATTGTGGAGAGGCAGCAGCAAGGCACCAGACTGCCATGCGTAGACTCTGAGATGGTGCAGAGTCACTTGGAGGAACTGGATGCCTTTAAGTCGGCAGGCCCGGATGAGCTCCATCCGAGGGTACTGAAGGCACTGGCCGACGTCACTGCACAGCAACTGGCGGGAATATTTGAACGCTCGTGGCTTACGGGCCCAGTCCCGGAGGACTGGAAAAGGGCCAATGTGGTCCCCATTTTCAAGAAGGGGAGGAAGGAGGACCCGGGCAACTATAGGCCAGTCAGTCTCACCTCCATCCTTGGCAAAGTCTTTGAAAAAATTATCAAGGCTCACATATGCGAGAGCCCGGCAGGACAAATTATGCTAAGGGGAAACCAGCACGGGTTCGTGGCAGGCAGGTCGTGCCTGACTAATCTGGTCTCTTTTTATGACCAGGTTACGAAATGCCTGGAC